TCTTATTTCTTCCTCGTCAATCCCTCGAGATCCTTGACCGAAGCTGTTGCCGTGACGTCATTGCTGATAGCATTACGTCATGGCTGATTTGTGCAGGTCTAAGGCCCCGGTTACACCCAACAATACTCTGTACAAAAATTGGATGATAAATCTGTCATGAGACAAATCGTCAGGCGCAACCTCAAAATTGTACAAAGTTATGACATTTGGGAGATGGCTAGGAGACTCGTCGAGAAATCAGGCACTGCTTGACATTTTTCGTGCGATCACGTTCAGATTTAGAGGAGACGAACCTTGACATAGAATCACAATAAAATTTGCCGCCGAGCAGGATTAAACCTAGGGCTCGAAATTTTTGAAAATAAATATCGCAGGTAAAAACTGATTTCATATTCGGATTCAGCGTCTCAAAAAAAACCCCAAAACTGTTCGGGGAGAACCTGGTTCGATGCGGCAATTCGTAAAATTTAGCAATTTTATTTTTTAGTTGATCGTCAAGGGTGAAGTTGTGCATCAAAGTTACCCGATGCGTTGCACATCTGCTGTCAAGTCAATGACAAGGAATCTCCCGGGTCGAAAGAAAACAGGACGAAAGGTTGGAACGTCTAAACAGACTACACAGCTCGATAAAACGGATAGTTGTCGCACACGTCGAATCTGACACAATTTACCGTTGCGTGTAACCAGGGCTTTACGCTTCTTGCGACAATATGTGAGGCAGCGTGGTGGAATCAGGCTCTCGTCAAATTCGGGGCATGTAGAGTTATTGGTATCATCTTAAAGCGTGTTCACTTGTCTTTATTTGGATGAAAAATATATCCATTTATCTTGAGCACAAGTTGAGATATTTGCAAAAGAAGATGGTGGGGGTTACCTGTTTCAGACGTAAAATTAGTGAGAAAATGGCCGCCAAAGATTAGTTATTTCTTTTGCTTAAGAGTCCGTGGTAACTGAAAATTGACATTTTTTGTGCCATTAATAAACGTTTTTCAGAAAATCTGCACAGAAATGAGTTCTTTAATGGGCATGAAAGGGGTTGAGTCAAAAAAATAAAATTTGATAACAATTCACAAACCAGCGGAGAAATGCAAGTTTCTTCACTTTGATTATTTTGACGAGAGCCTGATTCCACCACGTTGCGTCACATATGCAGTTATTTAAGAGGCAGTATCTCCAAGATCGGCGCCCTCCTTATTGGTTTATTAGGGGTTTTACGGCACTCTCAATACGACACTAGCTGTCTCCACCTCTGAAGACGTTATTGTTGTGCTAAATTCCATACACTGTGTGTGGGTGGTTGGTGGGTGCTCTGGTGTGGTTTGCTCCTTCTTTCCTATCCTACATAAATTCTATCATTCTTATAATGTCCTTTTTGTGTTTGTTACTCTCTGGTAACACCTCTAATCTTCGCTGACAGGTTTCGGAACGGGACTTATGGAATGAGACACAAACGCATGAACCTTTAGACCGCGAGAGCCACTGATAAGACCCAGCCAAATGGGCAAATTCGTATAAACAGCTTTATTCAAGGTCACAAGGTCGGACCAATATGAGCCTCGAACCCCGGAACCAAAAACGTCACGACTACGAGTCTGTCGGCCGAACCACTAGACTACCAAAGCCACAACAGACCCAAACATGAAACAATTAATAGAAAAATGAATGCATTATTTTTTTTAAAGAGGGGAAGGGGGGGGGGGGGGGGCTAGGGGGAAGTGAAGCGATATGAGACGTATCCCATATTGACGCTTTGATACATCATAGATTTTGCTCACTTCGAAGACACCGATGACCATTTCTATTATCTTTAGCTTAGTCTTTGTAAGGTTTTAAGGCGCTCGCAACTGCATAAGGTCATATGAACGCCAAGGGGTGGATGTTAACAGAGACGTCCAAACCGGGAAACAGACTTACTCTGCTCACTTCTCTAGCCTCAACAGCACAAAGTCTTCTTAGACTATCAAGGCACCCCGGAAATAGCAGTTTACAAGAGAGTGACAAACATACAAAAGAAGTAACGAAAAATGACTTTAGTAATAATGAGGGAAGAAAGAGGAGCAGTTCCCCTAATGTTGTTCCTGCACAGTAAATCAGCCAATTTACAATTGTACTGTGCATAACATAATATCCTCTCTTTGGGAATGGCCTAAAGACACTTGAGTCAGCAGCACTGCCCTGATTGGTAGGGGGTGAGGTATCTATGCTCTGTCTCGTTTGCCATGTGGACAGACGGATATACAGCCCCTGGTGAGAGAATAAACAAATATAAACTTTGGTATTGGATTTTTTTTCTTAATCTCTTTGAAGGGATACATAAATGTTTTAAACAAGTAAAATAGTGTATGTTTCGTTTTGATCTCCGACTTAAAAAAAAATAAATTTGTATTGATGTCATCTTTTTCAAAGGAAGCAAAACTTGCAAACTTTAAGGACATTTGCGGGTACTTAGCGGGCGCTATAGTCTGGTTTGCTCCTTCTTTCCTATCAAACATCTATCGTCCTTATCTTTCCTCCTGTTTGTGTTTGTTAATCTCTTGTAACACCTCTAGCCTTTAGCATTTATATGACCTTTATGTGCTGCAAGCGCCGTGTAACTCTAATAAAATCAAAAAGGACGTTTGAACGGCGAAACGTAAACAGTCCTGAAATGTCTTGATGCACCGTGCATCAAAACTTTTAGAGCTAAATAAAGTCCAGATCGACCTTTAAGTAACCAGCGACCATGTTTGCCATGAAATAAATAACTAAAATGTTCCTACCATCCATCTACATGTTTTACCAAACACTGCATTAAAAGACACCAGGGAGCTCTCGTGGCCTAGAGGTTTAAGCGTTGGCCTCTCATTCAAAGGGCCCGGGTTCAAATCCGGGAAGAGACCGAAAAATTTTCTTCTCTAAAATTGACTCCTTTCACCTCCTTTCCTTCTCTCTAGCAATGTTCTGTCGTCTGCTTTCCTCTGCTATTTTTGTACCCCAGCCTCTCACTTCATTTGCCCCCTCCTCTGGGCTTCTGACTCTTTCTGCAGCCTTTTTACTGCTACTCCTTGGCTCCTTCTTACTGCTGTCTTTCAGCCACACGTCTGATCTTTTCGTTGGAAAGATCTACACCTAGCTTTCTCGGACAAGGGCGAAAAATCTCGGAGGGCCCGTGTGCTGGTTGTGCATGTTAAAGATCCCTTGGTGGTCCAAAATCGATGAGAGTAGGCTTCGGCCGCCATCCCGGCAAAATTCAAAATTTCCTACCAACTGAAAATGTTAGGTGTGTCCCGCGCGCTCATATGACTTTATGCAGTTGCGAGCGCCGTAAAACACTTACCAAACAAAAATTAAAATTTTAATGACACCAAGCACTACCGGAATGGTCCCCACCGCCCACCGAAATGACGAAATCACTCACTAGAGGACTACGTCGCCCAAGATGTCAACCGCGGTGCTTGATGTACTTGTGTTCTTAAAACATCAACCATTGGGACGACCAAACTGCTTATTGATCTATTGGCATCCCTGTTTTTGAGCGCGCTGATTAAAATTTAAAACCAGATGTCCTTTGTATGTGACGTCACAGATAGCAGAGCGAGCGTGTGTGGCACAGCTGTTAGTCCATTCACCATTGCACCGAGGTCCAGAGTTTGACTCTCAAGCAGGAGTAGTTTCTTTCTTCAATATTTTAGTAAGCGTTTTGTGGCATTTGGCAACACAATTAGATCATACGGGCGCTGGAGATTACTCGTAGAAGCTTTACGAGAGGGTGACATAGACAGAAAAGGTGGAAAGATAATGACGATGGATGTTTGATAGGAAAGAAGGAGAAAACTACATCAGAGCGCCCGCCAGTCACCCACAAAAAGGTCCTTTTTTAATCAGTGCCTCCTTCTCTTTGCTGGGCCATGGAATGTTGTTTCCCATTAAGTCCAGGTGGACGCTTACAGGTAAAGTCGAGAGGGTGGTTGGAGGGTGCTCTGGTGTAGTTGGCTTTTTATTTATTATCACACATCTGCTCATTCTATTTTCTTCTACTTCTTTTGTTAGTATACTTTACTCTGTAACACCTCTAGTTTTAGAATTATATCACCTGGCTGTGTTGCTAGTGCCCTAAAAGTCTAACATACACTAAAACTAAAGGCATCGCCGAAGAAGCTCTCCATATATTTTATATAAATTCTGTCGATTTCTATTTTTAAAAACCTATAAACAAATTTTACAACGGCGTAGAAGGGCTTGCTACTGATTAATAACCTGTCAGCGTTGCACTTTGTAACCGACGTCAACTGACAAAACACGTCATCCCTTGCCACTGGAAGGGCCTGGATGGCTGTTGTTTACCGAGATAAGCTTTATCAATCATGATATTATGCTAGGCAGCGTGGTGAAATCAGGCTCTCGTCAAAATAATCAAAGTGGAGAAGCTTGCATTTTTCCACAGGTTTGTGAATTTTTATCAATTTTTTTTTTTTTGGCTCAACACCTTTCATGCCCATTAAAGAACTCATTTCTGTGTGGATTTTTCTGGAAAAAAAGTGGATTAAAGGCACCAAAAAATGTAAATTTTCAGTTACCATGAACTCTTAAGCAAAGGAAATAACTAATCTTTGGCGGCCAGTTTCTCACAAATTTTACCTCAGAAAACAAGTGATCCCAACCTCGTTCTTTCACAAATATCTCGACTTCTATTCAAGATAAATTGATATTTTTTACATCCAAATAAAGACCAGTGAACAAGCTTTAAGGTGATACCAATAACTCTACATGACCAAAAATTTACGAGAGCCTGATTCCATCACGCTTCCTCACAATGTTACTGGGTGGGAGAGCAAGTTCCAACATGCGCTCATTAATTAATATTGAAAACTGTACCTACATAGGTTCGCATCAGGCGCCTTTACCGTGCCTCATCCCAGAATGCAGATGTGTACATTATTTTTGTGATAGCCCCTTCTCCTGCACCCTGCTAGCTAGGAGGCTGAGTGGTGAACGATTCAATGCTTGAGTGAATTCTGATTTTCTTTTTTATTTCCCGGCTCTCTTTTCAGACGGAACGCCTCATTCAGTTGGATGCCCTGGTCTGGGTCACAGCTCTTCAATCTCCCCACTTGTTTCTGTAGCCGGATCAAGGAGGGGCGAACTTATTTCGTTCTGCAACTTCGTTCTTATGTGATACAGGCTCGCCGGGAGAGTTTACGTGTGTGCAGTGAGCGTGTAAGTATTCTGTTATTTTGTTTTCACAACCGGGGAGATGTTTTGGAGATTACGCTATCTTTTGAAAATTCTCCGTGTATACAAAGTTTGGTGTTATCACCGCGTTCTGTGTATTCATAGAGAACCGCGAGAGAGTTGAATGAATAAATGAAGTCATCATTCATGGGCAGTAGAGAGGAATACTATTGTGTATTGGTTGCCTTTTTCATTTTTAGTGGCTACATTTCTAAAAGAGTTCTTTCTCTTTTTTATTTATCGTTAGATTATATTATTTATAATACTAAGGATTTGGCATTTTATTTTTGACCAATAGTGTTTAAATTGTGCGCGCTGGCTTTGAATCCACATTGCAATTTTTGGTCAACAACAATAAATAAGCATACCGGTGCCCACAGAGTACGATTGGGCATTTTGCAATCGCCCACAGACACTAGGGGTCCCGAGTTCTATTCCTCAGTGGAATATCTTTATCTAGTACCTCGGTTTGTCTGCAAGGAAATATTTCCCTGTTTGCCAAGGGTTGGCTGAAACAGACAGGGTCAGAAGCTCACCCCATAAAAGATATAATTTTGTCGAAGAGGGCATGAAAACACTAGATCTACACAAAAGTTGTTTGTTTTTTTTCTCTGGTGATTTTTTAAATAGCCATCCCCCCCCCCCCTCCACAACATCCCACGGGAACTTCTCTTATACAGGACCTTAACTGAACACACTCTATATTATATTATTATGTCACTGTGGTGGCAATGTGCTTGCAATTGTACACTTGACATGTACCACTGTACGTATATAACATATTAATATATGTACACAAACACACACAAACATAGATGTATTTGGAGAACAATTTGCGCGCGTACACACACAGAAATACAAACACACATGACTTACATACACACATACAAAAACACATCACATACATATACACACACACACACACACACACACACGAACACACTCCCTCTCCCAAACCCCCCCCCTCTCACTTATCCACTCCCATCTCCTCCATCTGTCGTTCCTCTTCTTCCTCCTCAAAGACACTCCTTTTACTTCTAACTCTTTTCCTCTCCTCAAATACACACAAATCTGTCCCCTCCTCCCATTCCTCCCATGAGAAAGAACAAGAAAAAAACATTATTTTTAAAATGAGCCACTTAAGAAAAGAAGAAAAAAAACTCCCAACATGCCCTGGCCCTGTGGCCTGTACCCTCTCTCTCCCATACCCTACTTCTCCGCCATAGAACGCATGCGCAAACAATCCGGACAAGCCTGGTTTCCGGCACAAATCAATGAGGAGCTCTCTCTCAGGTCAAGGTCGCCCACGCCCAGCCTCAAAGTATGACTCACTCACCCCAGGCCTCCAAGATTTTGGGCGGGAGACGGAGAGATGAGCGTCCGTGCAGCCACTCAGTACTGGTGGCCAAGTTGTAGTTGTAGTCTTAGTAAGAGTTTTACGGCACTTGCAACACAATAAGGTCACATAAGTTTGTTTGTTTTAGCAAGAGTTTTACGGCACTTGTAAAACAAAACGGTCATATAAGTTTATTTGTTTTAATAAGAGTTTTACGGCACTTGCAACACAATAAGGTCATATAAGTTTGTTTGTTTTAGTAAGAGTTTTACGGCACTTGCAACACTATAAGGTCATATAAGTTTGTTTTAGTAAGAGTTTTACGGCACTAGCAACACAATAAGGTCATATAAGTACCGAAGAATAGATTACGTATTACAAGATCAAACCACACCAGAGCACCCGCCAACAACCCACCTGCTGCCCAAGTCTGCCTACCAT